CACACACACACACACACACACACACACACACACACACACACACACACACACACACACACACACACACACACACACACACACACACACCGAGGTCTGTCGGAGGCAGGTCCAAAGGGAGATGCTGGGGTGTGAGGCACCCTGCTTTAACAGCTGGAGGGAGATATTATCTCATGTCAAGCCTGGAAATTGATCCTCCCCAGATACAACCAGATAGGAGGGAAGGTTCGTACGTTCATGCATAATAGTTCTCTGGGAGTGAGCCTTAAGGTTGGGTGCTTGTGACCTGGATTTTAAAGCTCAAGACCCCCACCTATCTCCTTGGTTCTTTCTCTTTCTCTCTCTAAAAGTCACAACTTTTTTCTTCATATATGACTTTTCTCTGCAATAATTTTTTTCTTTTAATTTGTTATTATTTAGCTGCAGAGTGTGTTTGTGAGGTTACTCCATACTTTGTGTGTTTGTGTAGCATTTCAATAAGACTGCTAAAGCTAAGCATCCTCTTACACTTCTACATACAAATACATTGTAATAAATTTTACTTGTTGGTGCCAGCAAACACATTGTTTACTAGATAATATGAGGCCAGTGTATGTTTGTTTCTTTGAGACAAATAGAGTTACAATTTGATAATAATATAGGTCATAAATATTTTTAAAAGGTTGTTATCCAGCTCCAATCAAACAAGCCCCTTTTTGTGAGGTGTTGTAAAGTGCTGGTCGAGGGCAGGCATGGAATCCATGGCCCTGTAGGAAGCATGTGGTCAAGTGGCCTTGTTGATAAGAGCCATCACTATGTGATTTATCAGTGACACATCCTCCCTGGCTGATTTATACTAGTGAAAAATGCAGTGCTGCAGAGTTCCAAAAATAATATTTTCACAGAGTAAACAGATACTATATACATTTAATGACCTACACAGGCACTGAGCAAGACAAGATTCCAATTAAATTCAATTATTTTGTCCCATTAGTGTTCTGAGAGAGTACAAAACAAAACCAAGATTTCTCAGTAGAGTAAATAGGCCGTAATCTCAGTCTCACTCCGTAGCCCTGTCCACCCCCACCAAGGCCAAGCCTGCCCAGGTGGTCATTCACTGTAGAAGGAGGTAGAATAGCCTCAGAGGCCCCAGAGCCATCATTTACCTGGGGGTAGGTCTGGGTCGCTGGGGGCAGCCTGCTGGAGGCGGCGGGGCTTAGCCACAGCCTTGGAGCTGTCTGAGACACTGCGACTGGTGGAACTAGAGCCGCTCTCGTGGTCATCCTAAAGAAAAAACAAACAAGAATAGCAGTGAGGATAGTTAATGAAGTTCTCAACAAGGAACTACATAAGTGGTAAACTTGAATTTTGTTCTCACAATCATTTAATGAATCCTAGATTAGTAAGTAATACTTTAATGTTCGTGACCTAATGCTCTTAAGCAAT